AACATAATTCATATATAGAAATACGCAATCTATATTTATTATGTCTATGTATTTGGTACTAGTCTTGTATTATGATTATAACAACAATTAAGTGTCTCTATATTTATATTTTTAATAAATAATTTTAATATATATCCAAATCTTATATACTGTTATATACTTATTATTAAAATTTATTTACATTGTTGTTTAATACTATATATTTGTGCATAATAGAATTAATATTAAAAATAACATTATTCTTTCCAAGTATATGTGTATACATATATGTGTATATCAGATTAATGACAATGCTTATTTATGAAATAATTATTTATTTGTTTTATAAAAAATAATTATTTTTAAAATATTATGTTATTGTTAATATGGTTCTTATATAATGTTTGAATACATTAAGTGTAACGGCAATTATTAAAGAGAGTTATACTGTTGGTATATTCTTATTTTGTGTATATATTATAGTTATCCACACACACATGCACACACTCACACGCGCGCGCGCGTTATATAATATATATATTTCAAAAGGATCTGAAATATAGAATTTGAATATTTAATGGATATGGATAATTTTAATTATTATATATATCTGAAAAAAGGATATGTATAACATTATTATCTATAAGAGAAAATTAGCAATTCATATTATGAGAGATCTGTTTGTATATAGTCATCATGTGGAGGATAATAGTGTTGTGGACCGTGATCATGGGTTTATCTACCAGTGACATGGTTAGCTATGAGGGTTACAAAGTCTTCAGCGTTTACCCGTCCACTGATAGGCATTTGGAATTACTTCAATTGTCCATAAAACAAGTAAATAGATCATTTAAAAATAAAAATACGAACAATTTATATGCAAATTTTTTATCTAATAAATCAATATCAAAACTAATTGATTTTATTAATGTTCAAAATAGCACAAATTTTAGTACATTTTATGTTATTCGAGATAAATAAAATTAATTTGTTAGATATTTAAAATAACTTATAAATAAAATGTCATGAAATTAAGAATAGAACAAAAAAATACGTAGATTCAATTAGATTAAGATTAAATTTTAGTCAAACGAAATTGCGAATTAAATCTTATTTTACAGTATGGCTCCTGGTTCTGGAAAGAACCAAGTAAGCTAGACGGAGAAGTTCAAGTTATGATACCTCCGAATCAGCTCCAGACTTTTTATGAAATTATGCATATTACGAAATCAACTTTTAAACTTCAAATTAAAAATGTCCAAAAACTAATTAACCATACGATACCTGAGAATCAATCGCAGGGTTTTGATTTTCAAAGCTATCATACTCTTGAAGAAATCTACGAGTATCTGGAAGAGCTGGCTAAAAAGTATCCCAACAAAGTACAGGTCGTTGTTGGCGGCAAAACATACGAAGGACGCCAAATTAAGGGCGTTAAGATAATTAATCATGAAAACAATCCTGGAATCTTCATCGAAGGTGGCATACATGCCAAGGAATGGATTTCTCCGGCAACTGCCATGTACATTTTGCATCAGTTATTGACTAGTACAAATGTGAAAGTGAAATTTGTAGCTGATCATTATAATTGGTTTATTTTTCCAATATTTAATCCCGACGGATATGCATTTACATTTAATAAGACTCATGGGGTAAGATTTTTTAATATATATTTAATATTGTTATTTTAATTACAAATTAAGATTATCTATACAAGTGAGTCTTCTTTAATGATTTTCAGGATCGATTATGGAGAAAATCTCGCAAACCGTTCAGTCCTAACTGCATTGGAGCAAATCTTAATAGGAATTGGGATTTTCAATGGAATAGTAAGTATTCAGTCTGAATAGAGAAGATTATAATAAATAATAGAAAAGAGTTATCGAAAATTAAGATTATTTTGGGAGCTTGAAAAGCTCTCTTATTGAGATTCATTCGATGTACGTTATTGTAACTTTACGTTCTCAGCTTCTGGTATCAACAACAATGCTTGCAGTGATACTTACCCCGGGAATAGAGCATTCTCAGAAATAGAGACGAAAACTATGTCCGAATATATAAAATCCGTGAAAAACCAATTGTACGCATATATCGCGTTTCATAGTTACGGTCAACTATTAATGACTCCTTATGGTTATACAAATGCACATATCTTCAACTATGATCATTTGGTAAACAATTTTATTAATAAAGAAATATTGTCTTTGAAATATATATATTTATAAAATAAGATAAAAGGGAAATATTGTTTGAAAAGATTTTCATGGTTATATATAACTTTTTGCATTAAACACATATTCAAGTTATTCATTTTTTAACTTGTAGTGCTATGTCTGTGCTTATATTTCCATATTTAATATGATAATTAAATTCTATAATAGAGATCAATGTAATGTTTGCAATTTCAGCATAAAATCAGTTCGATAGGAATCAAAGCTCTTCAACAGAAATATAACACTGTGTACAAAACCGGATGTATTGGCGAGTTTTTTACCAGTATGTAAATACTTTAATTTATATCTAAAGAATAATTTGTCGCGTTAAAAATCATCTTATAATCGTTTCTTCATAAAAGTATTAACAAAAATAATTTTATGAAGAAACGATTATAAGATGATTTTTATAATAATGTTTTAATTGTTTTTTGAATACAATATTTCAGGTATTTCAGAACCTCAGACAAACTTCACAAGATAATGGTAGATTTCATAAAAAAAAGCTTTTGTTAAAGTGCTTATGTTCTCCGACGTATTTTTAAGAAGTTATTTGTCCTCATTTGAAATGGCTATGACTGTTATGAGATATGGAATCGATCGCGTGACAGCATTGTGCGTGTCGTCTGACAATATTATAATTCAAGTTTTTACTTTATTTGTCTTTTGCAAAAACAAAATCAAAGAATATAAACTTATCAGATGTCATATACGATCAGATGAATAGTTTCTTAAAAATGTATGTCGGAGAATCTGGACTCCTTAACAAAAGCTGATTCTTTTGATTGAAATTTATCATTTCTTGAAATTGTGTTTGAGATTCTGAAACACCTTACACACACACACACACACACACACACACACACACAGCGCGCGTATGTATGTATGTATATATATATATATAAAATTAACATACATTTGTTATTTTGTTTTATTAAATTACATTAAAATATATTGCTTCTTTGTTATAAAGTACAACTAATATAAAATATAATCGTTCCTAGATTTGCCGAGCGGTCTTAGTGTAGACTACATGGCAGGTGTTTTAAAAAAATCCGTCGTCTATCTCTACAACTTGCGCGATAAGAATGAATACGGCTTCTTGTTACCACCTGAGCAAATCATTCCGACTGGAGAGGAGACTCTAGATTCTCTTGTAGCTATGTTTATTGAATTATATCTTAACAATATTCAAGATAATTAAATTTTTATAATTAATTATCATCGATTATATTTTTATTTGATAAATAAAGAATACAAGAATATTATATTTTCATGAATAATGATAAATAGATTTCGATTAATAGTTGTACTTCTACTAATTTACAATTTTCTATGCTTTTGTCATTATTAGTAAAATAGATCGAATCTTATAAAAGTTTTATCTATTTTTAATCTATTTTTTATAATATTAATTCTTGACATTTTTCATTAGAATTATTTATTGTACATAATTCTTAATTTATTTATTTTAATATTTTCAATAATACAATATTTGCAATAATAATTTTTGTTTAAATCAACATATACATAAACTGTTTCTGTTTGCAATAAATTAGGAATGTCTTCTTTGTATAATAATTTGCAAATTATTTAAATAGATATAATGATGTGTATTTATTATGTTTAAGAAGGAAGAATAGAATAGTTTGATTATATAAAAATAAGCTTGTTATTAATAATAACAAATAATACTAGATTTAACGATTAGATTCATTTATCAATTTTATATATTATATAGACAATAAATTATAAATTAAAATGTATAAAACTATAAATAAAATTAAAATTATGTTTATATGATTTTTTAATAATATTATAATTACATTATAATTAATCAAAATACACAATTCAATTACAGGTTATACTCTGAAAAGCACAACATTCTTAATGCGCAATAAATATTATAAATAAAAGATAGTATAAAAGAAGGGCAAAGAGCCAATAACGTATAAAAGAATTTTAATTTAAATAAACAAAATTAATACAAAACAATTAAAATAAAATAAAACAAACGTTTCAACTCCAATCGAATCATTTTCAATGCAATCTTACAATAATATAAACATTGTTCTAAATTAAAAATTCGTACATAATCTTACAATATTCTTACAATTCCTTAATATAAAATTTTTTCTTTCCGTGTAATGTACTGCGAGTCATTTTTATCAAGAATTAACAAAGTCATAAGAAAATTCTTAGTAAATCTGTTAAGAGTCTAATAATACACAACGAGAAAAAAAAATGTAAAATGTGGTCCACTTCGTGGTACAATAAAATAGTCTTTTTATTTAATAAGTTATTATAAGCAAATTCGCAAAGGTAACAAGCATCTGACTTACACGATGTCAAAAAACGAGAACGAAATATTATAAATCTATTTTCTCGAAAGTTACTATTTTCCTATTTTTTACGAATAAAATTGAAAATTTAAAATCTCTGATTGATAACTCATCAATTTTATTGCATTTTTTTATTTAGATATTTATTCGTGTTATAAGTATTTTTTTGTATTCATAATAAAGAGCCAATTGAGCAGCGAAAAAGAATATTTAAACTTGCATAAGATTTCATGTAAATTGCATAATCTACATAATTAAATTTACATCTTTTGATATTGACAAAGAATATTTTTTTAATTCGTTATACATTATTTAATTGTTGAACATATTAATACTAAGGATTTCGGAAAAAATAAGATTATTTTAAACACAAATAGTATTTACATACATATACTTTTATTTATTTAACATTATTTATTATTGACATGTCTTCTGTTCGGTTTATATATTTGTATGATCAGTTGAAGTGCGGAACAGTTGATTGACCCTATTCATTTGATTGTCTTCTGATTTGTGTCCGGCTAGATTTTAACTTATAGGCATAAGTTATTTCAAGCCTAATGCAATAGATTAAGCAGGTTTGATTTATTTTTTTTTCTCTAATAAATATTCTAAATATTCTTTTGAGAGAGTTAAATATAGATATGTTTGACATTGTTGTGCATCGCGATTACATCGACAATATTATAAATATTATATTATTTTTATTAAATAATTATAATACATGCAAATTTTAATAATGTATTCTGTTATATATTATTAAAATTATTGTTGCCTAATATTAAATATATGTATATATGTATACTAAATTTATTAAGAAATAATATAATTTTCTTAAAATATATATATCAAACAAATGATGATGCATATTCACAAATCAATTTAACAATTATTTTATTATATCTTTACTTCAAGACAAAGCTAATATTTTCTCAGATATGCTATTGTAGATGTGATTTTTGTATTGATGTAATGTTTTAATAATAATAATTATTATGAATGAAAAGAATCGTAAGACAGAAATGTTTTTTGTGCATATACAAGTGTATCGATTTTTTTTTTAAAAAGAGTTAAATGTAGACATTATATGAATATTTAATAAAAATAATTGTGATTAATCATATCTCAAAAACATGATATATAATGTTATAATCTAAAAAAGTAATCATCAATTATGAGAAATCTGTTCGTATATAGTCATGTGGGAGATAATAGCGTTGTGTATTACGATCACGGGTCTAGCTGCCGATAATATTACTAACGTTAAGGCTTCTTACGAGAATTACAAAGTCTTTAGGATTCACCCGCGAACATACATGCAGTTGGAAGTACTTCAAGATTTGAAAAACTCGAACGAAGTAAATAGACTATTTAAATAAAAATAAAGATAATATGAAAGAAAAATATGAATAATTTGTATGTAAATTTTTTCTTTTAGAAAATTAGTTTCGCATTAATTGATTTTGTTAATATTCAAATCAGTAGTCAATATTCAAAATATAAAGGAAGAGAATCAATCGTTTTTAGGCCAGCTTAGAATTTTCAAAAAATGATTATATTTTGTATTGTATGGGTATCAGGAATATAAAAAATAACTATTAAGTGAAAAAAACTTGATCCATAAAACCATTAATAATAAATAGTCTAGATATAGATGTCACTATGATACCTAAGCTCTTTTTAATGAATGTTCTAATAAAACATTTTTATTCGTTATATTGATACTTTAATAATTATATTAATAAATAGACACTTTAATAATTATATTAATGTTATTTTAGACTAGAATATTTATTATGCTCAAAATAAAGATTAATATGTCTCATAGTAAAAAGAATTAATTTTTTGTTATTTATGTGTACTCATAACAAATAGATGATTACTTTTAGTTGCTTACACATCTATACAGCTTACATTATCAAGATGATTGTTTGTAGAGGTTTTAATATTCTTTTGTTTTATTTTTTCATTTTGCTTTTTATTTTTAAATTTTTTACTATGTTAAATACTACGAACGTGACTTTTAAACATCTTCTGATGATAATTGCTCTGAATTCGATGGTTTTAAAACTTAGATATCATGATGATATATCTTATAAATTAATAATTAATTATAACTTTACATGGATCATTTATTTCTCATCTAATAGTTATTTTTTACATTCTCAATGATTATACAATACAAAAGAAGTTGTTTTTTGAAAATTCTGATCCAAGCCAAAAAAAAGGCGTTACTGACTTTTCTCTTCATATATTCTATACATTTATTCGAAATAATGAAATTAGTTTCATACATATTCAAATAACTTATAAATAAAATGTTACGAAATCAAGATATATTAATATATATTTAAATATATATATATTTTCTCAATAAGTTTAAGATTAAATTTCAGTTAAGCGAAATTGTGAAATTGAACTTTATTTACAGTTCAGCTATTGGCAAGAACCAACTGAGATAAATAAAGAAGTAGATATTATGATACCTCCGCACAAATTCACGCATTTCTATGAAATTGTGAGCAATTATAAGATGTTCCATAGACTCCAAATTCGTAATGTTCAAGAACTAATCAACAATACAATATCCCAGAGTCAATCACAGAACTTTGATTTTAATAGTTATCATGCTCTTGAAAAAATTTACGATAATCTAGACGAACTGGCCAAGAAATATCCCGATCAAGTGCAGGTTATCGTGGGTGGCACAACATACGAAGGACGTAAGATTAAAGGCGTAAAAGTGTCAATATCTAATGAAACGAGACCCGGAATTTTCATCGAGGGCGGCATACATGCCAGGGAATGGATTTCGCCGGCAACTGTTATGTACATTTTGCATCAATTATTATTTAGTAATGATACGGATGTAAGATATGTAGCTGACAATCATAATTGGTTTATTTTCCCAATATTCAATCCTGACGGATATGTGTACTCGTTTACTAAGGTAAAATTTATTTCACACAGCGTTATCTAATATATATTTAATTTTAATTATACATTAAAACTTTACATAAGTGGATCTTTTTTAATAATTTTCAGGATCGATTATGGACGAAAAATCGCAAATCGTCTAGTTCTTTCTGTATTGGATCGAATCTTAATAGAAACTGGGATTTTCAATGGAATAGTAAATATTCAGCAAATAGAAGAGAACAATAAATAATAAAAAGTGTTATATCTAAAGTTCATACTTTGAGACAATGTTCTGAAAATCGTTTACCTCCGATTTTGATGAAACTTTGTAAAAAAAGCTTTATTTCGAATTAAAATAAAAGTTCTTAAAGGGATTTTTGGCGATTTTTATACCAGTTATTTTTAAGATAAAATGATATAAAATTAGTAAGTGTTTACAATAATGACAAAATTTTAAAATATGTTAAAAGAAATAACATTGAACATTTTCAAATTAAGATAAAATGTGAATCCCTATAGTCACCTATATATATAGATCTCATTTCATATTGTAAGCAAGACGTGATATGGGACAAATTTCGTTTCTCGTGGAAAGTATGTGCGAAAATAGATTATTTCATTCTCTTTCCTACGTAGAGGTTGTATTTGAAAGATGTATGTAATTTAATCTGAAACCAAATTTTAATTTCTAATCGGAAATGGATTTGCATAAAAAGATAGAAACCTATGTGGAACTGAACAATTATATTATAGGCCTCACTTCGCACTATAAGCAGGGAGTGATGTGGAGTGGATGTCGCTTTACGTGAAAAATTGGAATCCATGGACCTTTCTTCCCCTAATATATTTCAAGGTCGTTGAAATCGGTGATTTTATTAATATAAATATACATTGTTTTTATTGTTTTATCTTTAAAAAAATGGCTTTGTCTTAGGAGTCGTTTGAAAACCTTTTAAGAGCTTTGATTTTAATCGAAAATTTTTACAAAACTTTATCGAAATCGGAAGTGAACGATTTTTGAGATATTATCCTTTTTTTAGGAGCTTCAAAGAGTTTGTAAAATTAAAATTTATCTAATGTATTATATTGCAATTTGATATTCTCAGCTACTGGCGTCAGCAACGATCCTTGCAGTGAAGATTATCCTGGAAGCAAGGCATTCTCAGAAATAGAAACAGAATCCATGTCTCAATATATGAGATCTAGCCATTTTTACGCGTACATCTCGTTCCACAGCTATGGGCAGCAATTACTGTATTCTTGCAGTTATTTAAATATCCCCCACTATGTAATATTGGTAATAAACTTTATTAAAAAAGAATATTTATCCTCGAAATATCGCTGTAAAAAGGAAATAAAATTATAAAAGCAATACATTTTCATGGGTTTACGTAACTCATATTAAGTTTAAAAAGTTGTTCGTTTTCTAATAATTCATAGTGTTATATTATTTGCATATTTAATAATATAATTAAATATTACAATAGAAATTAATATATAAAATATTTATGATTTCAGTACCAGATCAACTTCATAGCAATTGAAACTCTTCAAAAGAAATATAATACTCAATATGAGACCGGATGTATTAGCAAATTCCAACGTAAGAACACTTAATTGTTTAGTATAATTTATCATGCATTAAGACTTTTTCTCATAATAATAAAATTTTTAATTTTAATTCATAATAATTTATTTATTTAATTCATAAGTTTTTTAATTCATAATAAAATATTTATAAAAATCAGTATAATGTTTAATTCTTTTTTCTTTTTAAATATACATATGTATATTTAGATACATTTGAAACAGAATTTTATTTTAATTTTTCATTAAATTAAAAAATACGCTGCTTCTTATAATATAACTAGTGTAAAATAATTTCTAGAGTTGAGTGGTCTTAGCACAAATTACGTCGCAAATGTTGTCCGCACACCCATTGTATACCTCTACAAATTGTACGATAAAAGTGAATATGGCTTCTTGTTACCACCTAAGCAGATTATTCCGACTGGAAAAAAAACTTTGGACTTTTTTATAGCTATGTGTAATGAGACATTGTCACATTATTATGATTTGATAACTCATATAACTCATTCTTGAAACGTTAAATTTTTATAATTTATTGTTTCTTTGTTATATATTCTTATTTGATACATGACAATTAATATTACATTTCCAAGTAATCCACTAAATAAGTTTCGATATTTTTTTAATTATGTAAGATGTTTTTAAATTTTCTGTGTTTTTGTTGTTTATATTATCGACATTACTTATATATGTATATTTTAAAAAAAAATAAATAAATTTCAACTACGTAGAAATAAAAATATAAAAAATTCCTTAAAATTTCAAAATATTTTATGAAGTTATCAGAAGGATATAGATCTTTGAGATGCTTTATATCCCGATTTATGACATTTCTAAAAAGATTTTATTTGATATTTTTAGACATATATTTTTTAATGTCGATATATATATATATATATATATATATATTAATGTTAATATCGTTTGCATTTGTATTTAATTACAATAAACATAAATATATTAAATTTAACTGGTAACGAAAGCTATCAATAATTGAATTGGTCCTTAAAATTGTTACGTCATGAAATTCTTTTAAAGAATGTTTATAATGAATATTATGTAATATTAATAACTTTTTATGCAATATTATTACATAGAAGAATAGTATTGTTTTATGATTATAATCATGGTTACTAATCATGAACTACAAAAATTGTTAAGTTTTTAGAATTATTTCTTGTGGACAATACAAATTAAATTATTTTCAGTAAAAACAAGTATTTAATATCTTCAAAAAACAAATTATAAAATCATCTTTTCGAAAGTTATTATTACACTAATTTTTATGACTGCAATCGAAAATATAATATTTATCTGATAATTTATCAATTTTATTGCATTTTCATTTTTTAAGCATTTTTTAAGTATTTTTCTAATATACATGTATATCCTCCTACATTTCTCTTATTAAAGAAAAAAGGAAGAAAGATGAAAAAGAGCAAAAGTTTAGTTAAAAAGAACAGACCTGTCGTATATCAGTATGTATAGAAATAGTATAGAGTTACGATTGGCTGTTACCACCTGATCAAATCATTCTAACTGGAGAAGAAACTTTAGATTCTTTTATAACTATAATTAATGATACATTAATATGTTATAAATAATGTTTTTAAATAATTTATTGTTGTGTATTGATTACGTATTTTTATTTAATGAAAATGACGAACGTATTATATTTCTATGTAATCTACAGCTGAATAATGACAAATAAATTTCGATATTACGTTTATTAAATATATAATTTCGATATTACGTATATTAAGTATATATTGAAATTTTGGATTTTTTATGCTTTTGTTATTGTTATCAGCGGAATTACCTGTATATTTTTGAAAATAATCGATTTATATTTTAGAATATCACTTTTTGACATTTATCAAAATGTAATATTAAACATAATTCTTAATTTATTTATTTATTTTAGCACTCCCAATACAAACAGTACAATACTTAAAATAGTAATTTAAATTAATTTCAATTATTTCTGTTTGCAGTAAACTAAAAATAATTATTTAGATAATAATTATTTAGATAAGATAACGATACGTAAACTGTGTTCTAAAATTCACTGCTAGTGCTGAAAACCTATAGTACACGTAACTAGAAATTTTTAGCACTGATAATAAATTTTTATATATATATATATATAATACAGAAACAATCTTTATTAAAAATATGTAGCATTATATGTGGTAATAAATGTAAGGAAATTATATCATTTGATAATTCATCGTCTTTATTGAAGTTCTGTTTCTAAATACCTTTTTTTAAGCATTCTTTGTAGAGAGTGTAATAAAATATTGATCAATAAAAGAGAATCAAAAAAAATTTTTTTTTCTTTAAATAATGTACATTTCTTATTTAAAGGGATAAACAATTAGTATATTATTAATTTTTATCTTTTTTGATCAATTATTGAATATATTTAAAGACTTCGCAAAGAGGTCATATTTTGAACGCGAACAAGTTATCAACATATACGTTGTTGTTTTGAATATTTTATTCTAAATGATACATCTGTTACTGATTTGAGTCCAATTGCTGGAAATTGATATCGATTTTTTAAAAGACAATATTAGTAGATTCTTTTCATCATATTTTGTCTTTGCATTACTATTTATGTGGCTGGCTCTTACTTTTATCCACTAAACACTCCTGATATTACGGATTATGTGAATATTTACCTTAACCTAGCAGGTTTGATCATAATTATATTAATATAATAAATCTTTAACTTACATTTATTGGATAATTTTCCCAATATAACTTTTTACTTACAATTATATCATAATATTCAATTGTTTTTCAAATAATGTTAGATATTTATATTATATCATTAATCATATATGCGTTTATAATGACTACAATGCAGACATGTATGTCAATGTTTCTTAATCAACAAGAAGTATTCTAAATTATTTAGAACTTAAGAATTTATCTGACAATAACAGACACATTTCAACAATTAAATTTTTTTATAAGAATGATATATTGCAATATGATAAGAAAGTAGATTTTTACTACAACAATTATTAAAAATCTTTTTGTACAGAGATATTATGTGGAAGTTAACAGTGTTATCTACGATTGTAATTATAATTACTGCTCAGAAGGCAACATATGATAATTATAAAGTCTTTAGGATTACTCCAACCACGCAGAAACATATCACATTACTTCGCAAATTAACAAAATTTCATGATAGAGTAAGATATGAACATTGTAAACATAAGCACTACAGAGTGTAAAGACATTTTTTCTTCAGAAAAATCAATGTCATATAAATTCATTGTTATAATTTTGAAAAATTAGTTTTGTAACATTCAAATAATTTATCCAACGTGTAAATTCAATTTTATATATATACATAATAAATTAGATTTGTATTATATATAATTATATAAAATTAGGTTTACAAATTCTTATATTAACATTAAAATTAATTACGCAATTAAATCTCATTTACAGTTTATATTTTGGGAAGCACCAGTCTGGGTAAACATGACATTAAATCTTATGATAGTCCCAAACTATCTGCCGCAATTTTATGAAGTGATAACTGAAATCGGTGCACCCTATTATATTAACATTGAAAATGTCCAAACGTTAATTGACCAAACAATGCCTCATTATAAATCAACGTTTGATTTTAAGAGTTACCACAGTCTTGAAATAATCTACAATAACATGGACGACTTGGCCAAACGGTATCCTAACAAAGTGAAGGTTATTGTAGGCGGCAAGACGTACGAGAAACGTCAGATCAAAGGCGTCCAAGTTTCTTTTAAAGCCAATAATCCCGGAATCTTCCTTGAGGGTGGCATTCACGCCAGGGAATGGATATCGCCGGCGACTGTCATGTACATTCTGCATCAGTTACTAACCAGCAATAACTCGGACATCAGAAATCTGGCTGATAGCCACGATTGGTACATATTCCCTTTGTTCAATCCTGATGGATATGTATACACGCACAAAGTGGTAAATCTTATTTTCTAGCGTTACATAGAATCATGTACTAATTTATGCAAATTAAGTTAATGATATACATGAATATACATAAAATAAATGTTATATGCTTCCAGGATCGTTTATGGAGAAAGAATCGTAAACCGCAAAATCTTTTTTGCGTTGGTACAGATCTCAATAGAAATTGGAACTACAAATGGAATAGTAAGTGCTCATACGTTCTGTGAATACAGCTCCTTAGTAATTAACTAATGCTATAAACTGACACTTTCAGCTACTGGTGTCAGCAAAAATCCGTGCTTCAATTCTTATCCTGGAACTAAACCTTTCTCTGAAATAGAAACAGAGAGCTTATCGAAGTATATTCAATCTATTTCTAATAAATTTTATGCGTATATCTCATTTCATAGTTTTAAGCAACTTTTAATGTTCCCTTATGGCCATACAAAAGCCCATCTCGACAATTATGACGAATTGGTATGATATTTTATTATGAAGATATTGTAATTGTTAGAAATATTCAGTATAAAAAAGAAATTATAATAAATTATCTAATTTTATATATCTATTTTATTATCTATTATTATTATTATTATCAACATGTTTGTGACATTTTTTAATTAGTTTGAAATTTGTTTTTTAATTAATCTGATTTTTATTATATTAATATGATATTGACAAGATCAATAGAATAATTCAGATTGAATTATTCTACATATATTCGTATTTTTAGTATGCCATTGGTTTAAAAGCAATTGTAGCTCTTAAAAAAAAATACAGCACCGAGTATCGAATTGGAAATATTGCTGAGACAATATGTAAGTAAAACAATTTTATCTTATCTTATTTATAATGTTATTTCTGCGTACATGTGATTGAGTAATGCTTAATTATATAAAGTATAAAATAGATAGGTTTATAAGAAAATTTTCTTTATTCTTTATTCTTGTAAATGAGAAATGTAAACTAATTTCAAATATTTTGGAGATAAAAATAGTTGCAAAAAAATCAAAGTGCTATTTTTTTTAATTTACACTTTTCATTTTAGATTTGGCTTCCGGAACTACTACAGATTATATCAAAGGTACTTATAATAAGCATATCGTTTATGTATACGAGTTGCGCGATCGCGGAGATTACGGTTTCTTGTTACCTCCTGATCAAATTATTCCAACTGGAGTAGAGACTGTAGATTCTCTTGTAACCATATTTAAGGAGATACCAATGTACCAAAAATATGTCAGAAATGATTTGTAAAATTTGATGTTGCTAACAATAAGTAATATTATATCGATGAAATTTTTATTTATCTAACTTTTTATAATTATTAGTGTTTTAGTCCAGTTTTTCTTGAGTTTATAGATATAAGTTGTTATATATTATGTGTTATGACTGTTTATGATATAAATTTTAATTTAATCTGAATTATGTTACAATGTTTTGATATTCTTGTGCTCGACAAACTTATATTAGATGTGTCATTTAGATGGCACATCTAAGAGATGTTTCAGATCCATGTTTTATTCTTTTAATTTCCCAAAACT